TTAAAATGAATTCTCCGGTAGATGGAAAGCAGAAAAAATAAATACTATGTTAAATTATTCAAGTCTAAAGTTGATTGAAATTCAATCTTTTAGCCTATTAAAATAAAGATAAAACACCTCTGATATCAGAATACATTTCAACAATCACGTCAGTCTCAATACAACTACTGACATTGGTTTTGTTTCATTTCAATGAAACATTATGTTAAAGGACCTGTAGTGAAATTCTTATCTCTTATGGTTTTTCTAAAAGATTGAACAGATAATATTGTCTTTTGTTTAATATGTGGGTTTTTCCTCAGGAACACAGAAATATTGACTTCAGATTATCAGAAGTAATAATGGCATCAATTTTAGGATCTCTGTTAGAGATTTATGCTTTAGTTTGTTCAATTTCTAATCAAACTCTCTCAATGATCTTTTCACTGAGAGCACATCATATCGTTTGTACTATTTGACCGAGTAACTGCAAACCATTTCCTGATTGACAAACTTTTAATAAGCACTTAAAATTAAGGTATGATATCGATCAGCGCTCAAAATTCAGTTCTGATTTTGTACTTCTCTGATATCAATTTGAGTTATTTTTGTTCTTAAGTGTGAAATACATTGATAAGTGAATATATATTTAAATGATATATTAAACAATCAAATTATCCTGTTTTCTGATAGATTTTCATTGATCCTTTTTGAAAAAGAAAAACTATTTTAATTGATCAGTTTATAGAAACAAGAAATAACAACAAAATTAAATACATGAATAATGTGATTAAGATGTATATTGTTTTTCACATGGAAAATGAAATTGTTGCGATAGGCGGTGTCTGAAATCTCATACTGATACACGGATTGCTACGTGCTAACCCCAAACCCACGTGACTACTAAAACAAGAACACTAAATTGAAAGAGAAAGCATGTTCGGCTATCGAATAAAATGCAATAATAATCATTGACATATGTACAACTCTACCCCTTGGGAAACCAATCCATTTTTAAGTCAGTGAAATGCACTTGTCCTTAAGGTCACTTCTGGTTGCCACCGACTAACCTTCGCGTTTGGCTACTTCTGATAGGCTTACCATGTCACCTTTCTCTCCTAAAAAATATGTCTTGTTCCCTGGATTTAACTGAAGGCAATAAAAGAAATATCACCTTCCTGATGATCCTCTTGGGGTCTGCCTATCACTTCTGCGCTAATCTTAACACTCCAGACTGACTGTAACCTTGTGGCAGGTTCAAGCTGTGGGGGGGGGGGTTCTTTATCAGAATTTAGTCGTCTATTGCGGATGTGTTGTGTTATGCATTTACCTCAAACATCAATTCTATACATCACGTCACCGACTCTTCTTACGATGACACCTGCTGCACACACAGGATCTCAGTGTCGAAAGTTTCTTACATACCCTGGCTACCCATTAGGAAGCTGACGTTCAATCTTCCTGTTTTCCAGTCAAGACCCAATAGATTGAATTATTCATTGGTAACATAACATTTTTAGTTGATTATTAGATCACTACATTTGACAACACATCTAATAATTGCAGAAATGTCCATCGGGTTGCTTGATGCATACTTACTGTAATCAGTAGTAGTATGAATGCTTAGTCGACCAAGCTTTGAGACAAATCAGAGTAACATCGGAATCAGTGTGCAACTGCAGAGTGGTAATACAACCATTAACACTAGTGGATACATATTTGTGTAAGCGATGAGTTTTAGATTTTGACAAACCATGTACAAAATTGAACCTTTACGACATTCAGTAATATGATGAAGGTTCTCTGTGTTTGCAAAATACCTCCTTATAGCCAGTTGCTCCACAGTTTGTGCATTTATGTCCATCGAATGGACAAAAACGGGAGAAACGCCATTCTCTACAATTCCAACAATTAGTGGGAGGCCCTGTAGAGCGACATGAATCAGAGTCATGGACACTATATATTCTATTCGCGCGACGACAGGTTTGTGAATCATGCTTCGCGATATTAATAGTACCCTCTGGATGAGAACTTTTGATCAAATCAAACAAACTGAGATTTGGATGTCCGATCATTTTAATATGACGATATTCATTTGTGATATCCTTCAACGTAAAGTTGAGATCTGACTCACTTCTGCTTAAAATTCTAATACGAATAGCTGAGTTTGACGATTATTGCAACGCCCATACAAAGATAAGACTCTTAAATTGTTCGTCAGATAGTGAACGCAGCCTATAACTCTCGCAATGCTCATTAACAAATGCTGCATACCAAAAATATCATTTTCAGGTCCTTTAACAGTTCTAAGACAACTGTATAGAAAATTAAATAAGGAAGCCTGATTAGTAAAAATTCGTTAGTTTTTGTACAGTAAAATCAAAGGAAAAATCGTTGAGTTTCTTCAGCAAGATAAGGTTCGAATACTATCCATATTCAGATGATTCACGCTTACGAAGTAGAATTTCCACCCTCGAAGAGTCATCGTGATAAGAAAGCTCAACTTGGAAAATGTCTTCGTACCTACTGAACTATGATTCAGTTATGACACCATCATCGCAATCAAAACGAAACTTGTTCATTGCGTTGGTCAGTGATTAGGTAGTGGAGTCCCTTAATCCGGACACCTGTACTGAATTTTTATGAACCGACAAGCTCTGTACCATCATTTCTATCGTTTTCAATTGTGATGCTTGGAATTCTTTTTACTGCTGCTGTAAAATTGGTTTGCGTTGATCTTCTGAAAGCGATATTATAGAATTGATGTTTTTGCATAGGTTTGTAAAAAAAATTTAACTTCACCAGAAACTGCTGTGATGGGTGATGGCCGAAATCTGACACTGATACATTACGTACTACACGCTAACTCCTCATCTGACCTTTTCATAATGCTACTTACCATATCATAGAGAATAATATAAATTCATTTGATTTTGTGGTTTCTCATCAGCCGTTTGCAACCATTTATGTGTAATAAAATAATATTGAGTTACGATATAATGTGGAATTATTGACGATGGTGACGAAAGGAATTAGAATATCAAATATTATCAACAATAGCTACTTAGATATATCTGCACAAGAACAAGTGTGAGGTCATAGAATTAAGAAAACATAAGGAGAAAAGTGGGACATTGATTAAATAAAGTTCAGAAACAGATTAGGATAGATCATGTGATAAATCATAGAAGTTGTGAATAGTTTACATCAGTTTCAGATAGCCTAAAATAAATATAGAAGATTCAGAGCAATTAAATGAAAGTTGTTCAAAATCCGAGACTGAAGGATTACGCGACAATTATGCAAGATTTGAAGAATTTACATAATTTTCGACGTCTAATTGAATGAAAGGATGATTTTGATGTACATAATCCTCTTCACTACTCAAACACCAATAATAATAATAATAATAATAATAAAATAGTAGTAACAACAACTGTGATTACTCTTACTTTCCTAAAAATGTTCTTAAAGCTTTCACATTTATGTTTGAATTACTTTTTCTGGTTAGAGCTTTTTAGAGAGTTTTCTACAGGATGGGGTCGCTAATCCCATGTCCAACTGTTCTCCTTTACTCGGGATTGGGACCGGCAGTAGCCTCAGAGAGGCTCCGGGTGGAACTCAAAACAACTGCCAATCATCATCGAAGTCTGAATTTTCAATACAAATGTCAAGACTTACTTACTTACTTACGCCTGTTACTCCTCGTGAAGGAGCGTAGGCCGCTCACCAGCATTCTCCATCCAACCCTGTCCTGGGCAATCTTTTCCAGCTCCGTCAAGTTGTTATTCATCCTTCTCATATCTGCTTCTGTTATCCGACGTAATGTGTTCTTTGGCCTTCCTCTTCTCCGCTTCCCTTCAGGATTCCAAGTTAGGGCTTGCCTAGTGATACAGTTTGATGATTTGCGCAATGTATGTCCTATCCATTTCCATCGTCTTTTCCTAATTAGAAATGTCAAAACAGTTCTACTATATGCGGTGGAAATTTAGAGAACTACGAAAACCATGATCTGGAAGGTACAAGTGTTTGTCAACAATTGTCTGTGCAAAATACTTCAAATCTGTTGGTCAGACATTATCAGCAACAACCTACTGTCGGAGAGAACAAACCACTGTCTAGCAGAGGAAGAAATCAGGAAAAAGCACTGAAAGTGAATAGGATACACATTGAAGAAAGCACCCAACTGCGTCACAAGGCAAGCCCTCACTTGGTATCCTCAAGGCCAGAGGAGAAGAGAAAGACTAAGGAACACATTACGCCGAAAAATGAAGACAGACATGAGATGAATGAACAACAATTGGATAAAACGAGAAAGAAAGACCCAGGATAGAGTGGGTTGGAGAATGCTGGTCGGTGGTCTTTGCTCCATTATGGGTAACAGGCATTTTCTGTCTTCTTTCAATTAATTAGTCAATCATTCAGTATTATTTTCATAAACACTTGGAAAATTACGTTAATGAGTAACATTTTTTCTTGGTTTATAGTTACCTTAGTATTGCTTAACTTCTCTATATTAATGTAGAGACAGGACCAAAAAAATTAATTGAAAGGAAGTTTCTTCATATTCCATTCCCCTGACCACTTTTTTGAGGATACATAAGATCAGCGTAATTAGTGATTGACAAATTTAATTAGCCTTTTACCATTAAAATCCTTATCCTATACACTTTACTCCTCAGTTTTACACTTTCCTTTTTAAACATTCCTTTCTTACTTACTTTGTTATGTTTAGTATTCGTAACGATTACTGCTAGTATTGTAACAATGTTTAATTTGGTTTCAATATATTGATTCTTACTTAACCACATTTGTAATGATACTTGGTAAATGGGTTATCTATTGCAAAACATAATGTCATATAATGATATTGAGGTGTTCTCACTTAATTGTACTATGTTCAATTAGTTAATATTATTCATATACTAACTCAACTGATATACCAAGTTACAAAAATCAGTAATTTGATAAGTAGTTCCTTAAATAGTCTAGTTAACATTGATAATTATGATAAACATCTGTTGACACCAAGCAAATTTGTATTTATAATTATTGACTATTTAGAATAATGTATTATTACATAAGAGTAGAACATGATAAATATATTTGATTTTGATGGTTCTTGCTGATGATGTCGTTCAGAGGAATGATGAAAGCTCCATGATCAAACTATCCAGCTCAGAGAACAAAACTTCATCAAAATCATCCAGTTGAGCTATAAATCTTCTTCACCATCTCAAATATATTTGATTTATATTTAATGAAAGACATATTTAGTGAGATTTTTCTTCTTGTTCTCAAACAAAAGGACAATAATGATGATGAATAAATAAGATAATTCATTTTTATCACAAACAGAAATAGTTATTCAATGCTCATTGATCATAAAGAAATGAAGAAATATGAAAGAACTATAAAATAAAATCCAATAATTACGTAAACTACAATGAGATCAATAGAAATTAAGCTTTACGTGTTTTAAAGTTATGAAATAAAATTAGAAACTTTTGAAGTTTCATAAATTCTCTCTCACTTATTAAAATAAAACTGATTCTCGTTGAATACCACTGGGTATCATTGGACATGATGACAAATGATTATTTGTATTTGTACCATTATCAACAATTGTAGCATAATCAAGACGTTTACGTATATTATAAATTTCTTCATAAATTTGTAAAGCATTACGTTTCTGTTGAGTATCATAATGTAGTTGAACAATTTGCTGTTCTAAATTATTCAGTATACTCCTGGAATATTTTTGGATAGATTGAAATAAATAAAGATTGATTAGTCTCACATGTTAGAAATGTTCAACATATTAAATTTTAGAGAAAAATATATTATACAGTACGTACTAAGTTTGTCCAGGACAGAGTGGGTTGGAGAATGCTGGTTGGTGGCCTATACTCAGTTGGGAGTAACAGGCGTAAGTAGGTAATTAAAACATACTACGTTACATTTTATATCAATTTAAGATGTTGAACACATTCATTGAACAAGATTTTGTTTTACCATATGGTTAAAAGTTCAGTAATTGAGTCATTAATTCGGAAGTTAGTCATTTCACCTGTGAATGAAATTTGCTAAGGTACACGAATCCTCCTTATTCATATACTATATTTCACAGTTTTCTTTCTTTACTCGAATACTGACTTGATTTTATAGACATATTTTAACAAATAAACTGAAAAAGTCTGGTATTATAGTTATTTTGCTGTAGATTTGATTCATAATCCAAACTTAAACATTTACGAAGAAGTTAAGATATCTTCCATAACTAATAGAACACAAGTGATAAACAACTTTGATATACAGTTTTCCGAAGAATTTCTAAATATCTCTACCATGTAGACAGGAAAATCATGAATTCCGCGCGGCGTGATCTTGGATGCGCACTGCTGAGGAGTCCCACACTTGGATGAAACGGCCGTCCAGTAGTTGTAGGTTGTACATGGTGGTCTAGCTTCAATTGACTCATGAAATTAACCATTGAATTATTATAATATTTACAAAACCCTTTTCTGAGAAATTATGAAATACCAAAATTTGAAATAACACGAACATAAACCTATTTAACGCATTAAAATTGCTATAAAAAGTAAATTCTATTGAAATAACTACTTTTCATGCGGGATCAATACAAGATATGTGAAAATAACTTGTAATGCTAGTTTCTGCGTGATTATTTATAAATACTTCTTTTTCAGTTCAGTCAAACTAACTACATCGAATTTCAGTGACATACGTTCTAAGCTAAGGTTGGTTCAAATGATTTGTTGGAAGTTTTTCAGTTCCTATATTTAGCATTGCTAATCAATATTTTAGGTGCAAACGATTAAATAACTGTATGGGTCTATACTTACTGTAAACACCTAGTAACCTAACGACTACATTTGTCTGATCAATGTTATCCCTGTGAGGAACTCGTACTTTTGTCTGTATGGTTACTCTCCACTCAATTTCAAAATGAATCAAACTCAGAGAAACTATACCCTCATGTTTTAAAGCAACATAGGATTTTCAATTCCATTAATAAATCTTCCAACTTCAATGAAACAATTTCGAATATCTCCTTATTTTCATTCTATAAGCTTTTTAATATAAGTGTATTTAAATTGATCATAAATGTTAGTTTTCAAAATGCTTATGGTCATATTTTCTTCTTTTAAAACTTCATATCATGCTACTGGAACCAATCTACAATAAGTAGTATAAAAATGTGAAAAAAATTAGGCAAGCATAAAAAATGGAAATACCTAGATTTTGTAAGTTTTTCTTCTAACATATCAATACAATTACGTAGGCTTGATAACTCTTCTAGCAGACTTAATTGTGGATCATCTCGAATATTTTCATTCCCCGATCTATTATGACGTTTCTCCAGTCGTGTTTCGGCTAATTTTAAACTTCCTTTTTTTGCACGTATAGTTTCTTCTAAACTTTTTATGTCTTTTAAATGTTCATCTCTTTCATTTTCAGTCTACAATGATAAAACATGCTGATGACAAGTGTACGAAAAAAACAGTTAAGAATATAAATTCACTTGGTATTTTTCACTTAAATCTTCCCATTGATCTTTAGGACTGCAATTGAACAATCGCTTATCGGAGTATGTGCATACTGTGCAAATTGTCTCGATATTGCCTTAATTCACAAGTATTCTAAGCAAAGATGGATAGTGACTAGCAATGAAACCCAGGACGCGCGTTTCATTCTAAGCGGATAACGCGACGACGTTTGAACAGAATGGTACTAAGTTCCAATCCCAGAGTGAACACCAACTCTGGGATGTAGTTAAATCTAGCTGTCGAGTCCAAAATGGGACGAAACATGCGTCCTGGATTCCACTGCTAGTCACTATCCATCTTTGTTTAAAAAGTTTAGAATATAATTTACTTACTTACTTACTTACGCCTGTTACTCCTCCTGAAGGAGCATAGGCCACTCAGAATATAATTTAACAAATAAATAATTTTTTATACCGAAAGTTATTTAAAAAAATTTTATGAAAATATTTCATGCAAATTATGAAAGTGTTTAAACAGTTCCATTAAAGATTTTCGATTCACGTTCTCAAACATTTTTAAGCATGACTGTTGTATAACTTGAAAATTGTCAGCGTTTTAACTTAAACTACCTGATAACTTCCTGATAAACATTATTACACCTTTAAAATAATTGCTTTAAGTTAAGAAAATTAAAATATTTTGAATGGAAAGTGATTAAATGTAATATCATCTAGTAAATAGTTGTTTGACACAATAGTTGACCATTTGTCGTTCATATAATCAAAAATATTGTCACGTAAACGAGTCTAGCTGACAGAATTCTAATAGCTTTTTTCTACATTTGTCCTGTAATTTAGAAATCTAGTAGTTCGCTTTCGTATCACCCTAATATTCAGTGAACCGAACGAAAGCTACCGTTTGAAGTAATCATACTTTATGTATCTTTTAAACACACTGATAATCAGTAAAATAACGAATTTTCAACACTGATAAACTTGTTGCGGCTGAAGAATTCTTTTTCAGAAAGTTGTAATTAGGCTACTCATGAAGCTAAACTGAACCGCGTATTGATTTCGAATCATTAAACCTTGTAATTCATGAATTTTTACAGGTTAGCTTTGTTATAGTTTATCAAGAGCCTCGATTAATTGATTAGGTGACATCATGCAGGCAAAAAGATTCTTGGTTCCCAGATTCAGTCTTGTGGGGGAACGTGTGGTAAGTGTTGTCCATAAATTCCAATATCGTAAGAAACAATTATCCAATGTCCCCAGATTCTTGATAATTCTCCAGCTGATATAAATAATCAATAGGCACCGGTATATTTATCATAAGAAATTAGAGTTAACAAATTTAAAAGCACACCCAAATGAAGATGACTCAAACAATGAATATAAAATAATAATTTCAATTAATAAGATTCATAGCTTACACTTTTAATTTGATATTCGATTTCACGTAATGATCTAAGAGTATCATGTATACGCCTACGTAGTTCATTATCTACTTGACTAGCTTTACTCGCCATCCTATTGATCGCTTTATGCAGATCATTATGCAATCGATGTAGTAAATCATCAGCTTTTTCAATTACATTTTCAGCATTTTCTAAAGTTTGATAACTTATGTTCTCCCATGTTCGCAAATCTATTGAGCTATGTAAATATAGGGAAAAAGAATAACTGAATGAATGATTGAGAATTATGATAGAACAATTGAATAAATTTCGGGGTAAAATGATAAGTTTTAATTAGTTCACGAGTAATATTCATCATAGATTGATCTTAGTTAGATTACTACTGAAAACTAGGAAGCAATGGACTGCTGTTTCGTCCTAATATGTGACTCCTCGATAGTGTGTCCTCACACCTCTCCCAGAGTTAAAACCTGTGACCTTCATGTCTCTAAGGTTTCTAGTAGTTCTTCATTCGGTGTGATATCTAAAGCCCTAGTCCCAACCTCTTGAGGAGTCATTGATGAACACTTATGAGGAGTTCCAAATTAGGATGAAACAGATGCTTAATATTGCTTGCTTCAATGGTACTCATAAAAGATCAATCTGTAACGAATACAACGTAGAAATTAAACCAATTTCCACAAAATCCCTTCAACTTAGAGTTAAATATTTTAGTTGAAAGGTAGTTTATTGTCACAAATTCAAGTTTATTAAAACAAAGATACTTTAATATTTTCGATGATAAGTGTCTGAACACTTGACAGAATGAACATATACTTCCATATTCATACTATATTGTTCTGTGAATAGACACTGAGAGTAATTGAAGTCTCAATTTATATGTTATGAACAGTATGAAAAGCATTTCTGTTAGTTTTAATTCATGATTATCAAGCGCAATCTTTGAATCCAGAGGACGTGTTTAAGTTCAAATTGTATAATTACAGATTTCTTCAAAGAATTGTTCGTCGAATAGACAAGGGGTTAATGCTGAGAGCAAGTGGAGTATAGTAAGTTAATTCAATGAGTGTCAATCGTCATCGATCAAGGTGAATAGGACAAGTTTTATGTAAATTTAATCACCAGATTTTGGAAATCCGATGTTGGTTAATTTAACTTCGGATCAGTGGAAAGTTAAAAGTGATCAAAATTAATTTGATAGATGTAGACTGACTGGTTTAAGTCAGTGCAAGAACCTTGGTCAGTGTTTGAAAACCTTAGGTGATTATGTTCAAAAGCAGTTTAAGTGGAGCTTACCCACTCACTTTCTATATTTACTTTTACTTCTAATTTTAATATTAATTCATACTTTCCATGCTTCATTGTCCATCCTACTTTACTATCGCTGACACTACTATTATTTCAACCCCCATGTCATGGATCTTGTCAATTTCATAAGACTATATTAGTGCGATGCAGAAGCCTAAACCATGTACAGTCCTATAGTTTTGACTGAGTGACTGACTAAATCCCATTAGTACTCTATAGAATAAAGGAAAAAATCTTGAAATACATAGACGTTGAAAACTTTGAAAAAAACGTCAAGAAATCTGTTCAGTATTCTAAGCTGTCTCTTATTCAGTCACCATGTGCAAAAGAATAAGATTTCAGTGAGCTTTGTTTATGAGAAAATTCACGCACATTTCACTTGTTTAAGAAGACACTTAGTGTCAGAAAATAGTAGCTATCTTCAATATGCTCATTATGCTTATTAGGGAAAATAGATTTACATTCTTCTATTTTACAAATGGAAACTAAGTGAATCAGTCAGTTACAACATAGGCCCACGCACATATATTCATCGGTCCGAGTTGCCATACCTCATCAGCACAACAGGATGAACACCAAATTCATAGAAGTAGTTACTTCAATGGTAGTACCATATATAAGAAAGACTGTTTATAAAGATATAGTACAGGAAGAAAGAATTAGTTCATGGAAAAAAGTATAAAGCAATTTTAATTCCACAGTTCAAGGGAAGATAAAGAGTGCATACATCGACGCCATTGTGATCGATTCTAAGACATGTCATTCAGAGTCTCCAACCATTGGTTACGATAGTCACGCGGACCCCAACCAAGTAGTTTGCATCTACCAACATGGCTAATAATAGAAGTTAGTGACTCAAGCACTCATACGACGTTTTGGCTTGGTCGCCCCTAACTTTCTTCCAACCATTCCCTACACTAGTCAGCATTGCGCATCGTGGTAATCGGTGTTCAGGCATACGTAACACGTGGACTAACCATCTCAGTCGACGAAGATTTATAACCTCATCTACTGATTCACCACCGTTCCCCAATACTCTGCGTCTAACCTCACTATTACTTACCCAGTGATCCCAGCAATTGCAAGCCATATTTCTAAGACATCTGTGATCAAATACTACTAACTTACGCATATCTTCTACTCCTAATGTCTACGTTTCTCAGCCGTAAAATAGAACAGAGCGAACTGCTGCTCAGTATACTTGTCCTTTAATTGATAGATGAATATCTCACCATCTCTATAGGTGACGTAAGTTGGCAGTCGGTGAGATTATATTAATACACTATTAAAGATATGGACGTGACAACATAGACAGAGGATCAAAGTGTATCAACTCATTAAACGTTTCGATGAATAAATATCCTGTTTCCAATCAGTGATGGTTATTCACTCACCTTTCTGGTAAACGTTCACAGAACGGTTTTTGACTAATACAAGATGACTTTTCATTCAAATTATAAACATCAATATCGATATGTACAGCTTCATTTTTATTAAAAATATCTGAATAAAATGGTTTTGCTACATTATTCATTTCAACTAATAAATGAATTGCTTCGTCGATTTGTCGTTGAAGATCTGTTTGTATTTCTTTCAATAGATCACGTTCCTGATAGAATTAAAAATGAATATTTTGCTAGTCGAATACAGTGAAGAAAATTTTCAAAGAAATTTTCCCTATTTAATCGTTCAGTTATTCAATACTAAAATGTTATCAATTAATTATATGAATTTTAATTAATGATCAAGTAGAGTGTACAACAGTTCGCACTGTACAGTTCTACTTTTGTGAAACGTGACCAAGTCACTAACTACTCTATGCTTTTACGTACTTATTATCTTATGTCTGTTACACCTTGTGGAGAAGCGTAGGCCACCCACAGAAATTCTCCATCCAACTCTGTCCTATACAATCCTTTCCAGTTCTTTCAAATTACTATTCATCCTTTTGATGCCAGCTTCCAATCCCCGACGTAATGTGTTCTATGGTCTTCCTTTTTTCCTGTTTCCTTCAGGATTACAAGTATGGGCCTGCTTCATGATGCAGTTTGATGATTTTCATGATGTATGTTCTATCCACCTCGAGGGTTTTTTTCTAATTTCCTCTTCGTCAGAAAGCTGATTTGTTCTCTCCCATAGTGGGCTGTTGCTGATGTTATCCAACCGACGGACATTGAGTATTTTGTGTCGACAAGCGTTTATATATACTTGTACTTTTTTAAATGTAGTGCCTAAATGTTACATGAATGACCAGAGATATTTAATACTGTCATGTTATATTGCTCACATTGTTATGTGACATGCAAGAATTGGATATGACAGCTCTGTTTTCATTTCTGGTCTAATGAGTAGTAAAACATGTACACCTGAGTTCATTATTTCAATTTCTTACAAGAAAAAAAGTGAAACGTTTTCCTTGATTGTTAATTTTGTCTTTTGTTATTTTCTCTATTCGATACATTGATATCAAGAACTGGTTCTAAATGAATAATTATTATTTGATTAAATTTTACATTAGTTCTGAAACTCTATATATGCTGCCATACACAAACATAGGAGATCCTTCAACGTCCTACTTTTCAGTTTGATAACTTGTGAAGAACAGTTCAGTTTGCAGGTAATTTTATTTATAGAACTACATCAACCAGAAAACCATTAGGAAATAGGGAGCATTGAATAATTCCCTAAACTCACATTAAAACTCATCATTAGTGTCTTCCATAAACCTATTCGGACCCAAAATCTTAACGTTGAGTGGAGAGCTGATAGTCTAGGAGGCAATTGGTTTACCACGTTTCTGTACTCATACACCATTTAAGATAAAAAATTATATATATATATATATATATATATATATATATATATATATATATATATATATATATATATATATATATATATATATTCTGACGATTGCCTCCAACTACCGAGAGGCAAAGGAGCCTAAGATATTGAATGATTTATACTAGTGGTTATATTGCCATTAGATTATTATAATTCGAATGGTACTAAGAATTAGAAGTCATGAAATTAATTACAAATCTCTGACTAATTAATATAATCTGATAATTAACTTTCTTCATGTTCCCTATAAATATTGTCTTTTAGCACTTTTTTCAGTATATTTCACACTATGTATATGTTGAAACATTGCTATGCCAGCCTGTATCTTTACTATTAATCACTACAGTATCCATATTTTGTAAATAACTAATTTTGGAATAATGACAATTGCTCAGTATGTAATTAACCCTTGACTAAACTGCAGATTTTATAAATCAATCGAATAACTGTCACTATAATGAATTACACCTGATATCTCCTATATTACTTGCTTATTATTTTAAGTAACTTGATATTAAAGTACAGTTTGTTTGTTGCTCGATGGTTGAAGGGTGTATTCAAAAATACATCGGCCTACATTTTGTGTTACTAAATATTTGTCATTACAAAGTGTTCAAAATCACGTGACAACTAATCCTCTTTGTGAGATTTGAATCTACGCAACTTGATACACCAGTCAAAGATTATCTTTCCAGTATGGGTGTTAGTCTTAATCCCTTAATGATAAGTTTATTCAGTTGGCTAATAATCCTGTTATCCGAACCTATTCACTTCCTAGATTTCAGAACTAGTTTTGTCAGCAAACTAAAAGCTTGAGTAAATTAATGACTACAATATTTTATATAATAAAATTTATGGCTATTTACACAACAAAGGTTACCATGTTTAATTCCTTAAAAACAGGATCAATAATATTCTCATCATTTTGTCTACGATCCAAATGTGTTAGAGATTCAATGTTGACATCAAATGAATCATTTAATTTAATCATAAATTCTTGTGTTTTATGTTTACCAGCTTTTAAATGAGTGTCTTTTTGCTTGAGTTTATTTAATTGAGTAATTAATTTGTCACGCCATTGACGTACAATCCATATACGATCAGATAATTGATTATTTCTTTGGAGTTGATCATATCTATTAAAATAAAACAAATATGATATGACAAGAGAATAAAAATAGATTTTTATCAACTGATGATTCAGTAGTGGCTACTATAAATATGGGTGATCAAGAGTTTTAAATTTCATAGTTTGCATCACAGACTGATCTTAGACAACCATTGAACACCGAGAGGCATTGGCTCAGTCTTTCGCCATGTTATGATATTCTACAACATTTCGTGTACATAATCGAAATCATGACCATAGGGTCTCTCGGTGAGCGCTCAATCTTTATATTTCTAAACTGCTAAATTCATTCAATTTGCAACTGTAAACCAATGGATGCTAAATAAAAATCATGAACATGAGTCTCTTAATGAATCCATTTAGTTGAACTCTAATAGGATATATGACTACTTAGCCGAAATTTCTGCACACCTTAATAATTTACACCTAACCATTCAATGTTGTTTCACAATAATCTCCTTTTTTAAAAAAACTACGAATGATCACTAATATAGTGTACGACACCTTAAAACAAATATTTACTGAAATTAACAATGATGAGTATGAAAAATCATAAACAATGTCCAATTTGTGATTATTTTTCAGCAATGAGCAATATCAACTCAAGTACTATTATAGACCAGAAAACGAAGAACATTTATTTTATATTCATTCAAAACTCCTTCATGTACCTTTAAGACGTTCATGACTGACAACAATCGTGGCACTTTTTAATGGTTGGATAGGAATTATATGACTAGCATTTTTAAATTTAGTCAATCGACAATATTTTGAGATGGTGAGGAGTATTTATTGCTCAAGTTGATGGTTTGGAGTTTTGTTCTTTGCACTGGATGTTTTTATCGTGAATATTTCATTACTCTTTTGGTTAACATCATCAGCACAAACTTCAGGTAGAAATGAAATGTTAAGAAAAACAGTGAAAGCTTCACAATCAAATGATTCAGCTTAAAGAACAAAACTCCGCCTAATTCACAATACTGCATAACCGTCATTTAATAATATCAATAACATTTGTTTTTCTCTGTTATTTACAGCTTTACACTAAAACTTCAGTAGTTCGTTTTCGTTTACAAAAACTGTAATTTAAAAAAACTATTCACCATCGTCGGTAATATTCTCACTGCATTATGACTGTCAGATGCAGGCCATTGAGGTAAAAGTCAATTTACGTTGTTAGTATTCGATTACAAATGTTGTTTTAAGCAATGACTCCATCAAATATAAACACTGAGTAAGTATTATTGGGTTAAGGCTTATGGTATCGGTTAAATTTAATAAAGAAGTTGAGGCTGTGATACTTCATTCAATAACATGAACTTTGAATCTCTGAATCATGACCGCCCACCTCTCACATCTATATGTCGCAATGATTGGCATACGAGTAAGCTGAAATGTTGTTAACGATAGCCATATTGAGACTTCGTCTGAACTGTTTCATTGGTTTCAGACTTCTAGCACAATAACTGTAGCTCATATTCACGAAACGTCCATAGTGATAACGTACTATAGTTTGTTCATTATTTTCCTCTATACCTCGAGTTTTAAAATTCTTCATACTTTTCATGCTAGGGTGTTATTTTTTCAAGCTTACTTATGTGCATTTTAATCTTATTACTCTAATGCCATGATTATTCTGGATTAATTGATAGTTTCATATCATTGTGTTGGTGTAAAGTGCGATAATACAGATTCATGTTTATCCTTCCTCAAGTTCTCATTGTTTATAATCTATTGGTTAAAAAAACACTCAATCTACTGCGGATTTTACTGAAGTGAATGGTATAAGCTAAGTAAAAAAACCTTTAAATTAACTTCTCATTATAACTAAACAATAATAGGATGTAAAATTCGAGAGAAAACGATAATAACAAGCACTTTTTCAAACTTAATTTGTCAATGTGGGATGAGGAATAAATGTCAGACGATAAATAATTTACCTCTAGGTCGCAGAAATATGATCATATAAGTGTAACGAAATAACTAAAAAGCACATTATGGAAAGAATATAAACAGATTTACTAATGACACTCTAATGTTATGTTCTATGTGTTTTAAACTTTATTACTAGATCAAACGCATTAATTTTAACGTACTTTGTATTTATATCTGTTTCGATGCGTGTAGCTCTAACCAATTGACGATGATCATATGATATATCCCGATTACCTTCAGCCGCCTTTCTTTCAGTGTGGAGATTTTCAAACCAACTAGGATACGTTCTTTTCGTATCCGGTTTTGTTACAGTTGCCATTTAAAATCTGACAGTTTGACAGTTTACCTAGAAAAACCTAACACCAAATTCTACGACTAAAAATCAGTTTGGAACAAAGTTTGAATTGCTTTAATGAAATCAAAGTTTATGAAAAAACGGATTCGGAAGTATAGTATAGTTTAATTGATTTACAAAGCCCAAATTATATTGAACGTGAGCAATTGGTCAGGCTAGGTGAATATTAAAGATGAGAAAACCCAACCTGCTAATATATGCAGCAATAAGGGTCAGTTAAACTACTCGGTCATCCTATGCAAAAAAGGATGGCTCAACTTTGACATACAGACTCATTTGGTTAGACCTTTGTTTTGTACTTTTAATCCGTTCCGTCAGTCCCTGTGAGAAGACGCTTGGCTTGAAACTTTACTTTGCTATATTTAAAATCTTACGTCGACATCTTAGACGGAGTCCTAAAGAGAAGCTGTTTATCTTTTTTTTGAATTCATTAAAGTCCGATCGGTTGGTTAGATAAATGGATAATCTGAAGCTTTGGAAAGCCAGTAGAAAACAAGTATATAAACTCAAAATCTTTTCTGAATATGTATTTATTTGTGAAACTATGAATCATAATTTTTGTTTTTTTGTCTTATAACTTTTGACAAGCGAAAGAACAATTTACAGGGCAGTTAGATCTCCATTTCTGCGACCGTAATGTTCGAACTACCCGATATTAGCTTTGTATACTATTTTCAATATGTTTCTTACTTAATATAAATATTTGGTATTTAATTATTTCATTACTACGACAACACCTTTCGAACATATTTTTGATAAACAGTTCACTTGGTATCTACTTCCCAATTTCCAAAGTTTGGAGAAATTTTGGGGAAATCACGAAGGCCGAACGACCTTCACCAAGGTTTAGGAGAAGGTTTGGGGAAATATTGAGGTTTTGGTGCCATTCCCTACACAAATGTGAAATGAGTCAAATATTCCCCGAAATTGAGAGATTGGGTTGGCTGAGTATAAAGACTGAATAAGGTCGATTTAATGATCTCAAACAAACTGTAGACGTAAGACCTATTTAAAGGTGCGAGACATATGTTTAATCTTTTCCATGGCGTATTTAATAAATTTAAAGATACTGATAAAATTATTCCAGTACGTACAGTAAACAAATACAAAGCTGTATACTTATTTCATGAAGAATATTAGCTTCCTATCATTGACGTCCTGTAAACGTTGTAAAGTTTCGCTGCAATAATGTTAATTTAAAGTGCTGAACTTACAACAATGTTGAATAGCTGCTGTCGTTGCTACGATACAGAAGTTATTTCAAACAAAATGTTCAGCCTCAAGGATAAGATTCTTGACTTCAATATGTCTGCAAGCAAATAAAATAAGTAACGGCATCCAATTTATTGCATCCGTTTATCGTTTTCCGTTAACACTTCTGTCTAGTTGTCCTGACCATGAGCGTTGCCTTTAAAGTGCGTCTTTTCTGAATGTACTCATGTACTACAATTACTGCTAGTTTGGTCGATCAGGAGGTCATGAAAAAATCAGCATTCTGCGTGAAAAGAGCTTTTCTGAATGACAGTTCATATGTATTAGTGGTATCACCAGTCTGAATTTTAGACCAGAGTGGGAGACCTTATCGAAGGCCTTACTTAGATCTATGTAGATCACATCCACAGGAATATTCCGATCTTTTGCAGCAGCCCAATCTTCTCTTACGATGAGAAGATTTGTCAAGTATGATAGGCCTCTTCGAAAACCACGTTATTCCCTGGAGAAAAGATTATGCCCTTCAACATAGTTTATGATAGATATCCGAATGATTTTTTCCATCAGTTTTACAACTGCATTAGTTAAGCTAACAGGCCTATAGTTGCTAACTAAATCCCTACTCCCAACTTTATACACCGAAATTATTATAGCGTCTTTCCAGCCTCTGGGTGGTCTGGACTGCCATAGAGACATGTCAGACGGTATCGCTAATGTTTCAGCAATTACATCTGATATGGCTTTCATAATCCTAGGATGAATACCATATGATCATTATTATTTTGTCTTATCTCTTACTTCCGCCTAGGACTGATCATTTGCGAGTACATCCGAAGAAAGTCCAAAAATCGGGATCAAATCGTCTACGTCTGGGGTTTCGTTTCTCGCATCGAGTAATGAATTATTGGAATTCGCTACCGGAACATGTAATATCAACACCTTCTGTTAATATATTCCGAACGAGATTGAGCCTCCATGGTATTACAAACTGCAAGGATTAATATAGGTTGATAGACCTTTACCCTTATTACTAAAGATGGAAATACTAATATCTTTTGGCTCTGATACGGGAGTTTAGTTAGATCGGTTGAAATCAACGTTCCACTCACTGGCAATTATTCATATATCCTGGTTGAAATGGAAGCGGTGTGTGCATAATAACTGATGGATAGACTTTCTGTTAACTAGAGTTTTTTTGAGATAAATTCTTTAAAGGTACATCATAATGTCGGTGCAGGTTTCCTGTCTGTTTTGTCAAACTCCTGTCCATAGTCAGGAAAGTTGGTGTATAGTGACGAGTTCCATTCAACTGATCAATAATAACCACATTAGCTCATTCTCAAACAACAATGTGTTATATGAAGCATGCTAGTTTACAGTCAAGATTAAATTTTTATAAATGTTACGGGATATATGGTAATTTGTTATTAAGCTAGGTTGATATTTTGTAAGACACTATGGTGACAGAAACAATTAGGCAAATTTTCTTACATTAGTAAATGAATAATGTTGGTGAAATGAGTAAGTTCAATGTGGAAGCTGACTCACTTTATGGACGTTTTGTTGTAATAAGCAACTGGTGGTCGAAATGAATGCAGGTAAAGTCCAAAGCTCTTTCTAACAAGAAATACCGCGTTTAATGCGAAATCGGTCAATTTAGAACGAAGACATTACCGTATTACTCCATGCCTCTTGATAGTGTACACAGGCAGTACATTTACCAGGCTCATATTGAGCACAATTGAATCACTGGAGGTATTGATGAAAGCTCTGGATGAAGTCATGTGTTCCGGAAATGTTTTTTTGCTAGTATATCGGAGCGTGCTGAGAAAAAGATTAGAGAACAAAAGGCGAGAACAAAACAAGATATGAGCAAAGATGGATAGTGGCTAGCAGTGGAATCCAAAACGCGCGTTTCGTCCTGTTTGGGACTCGTCAGTTGGATGTAACTTCATCTCAGAGTTGATGTTCACCATGGCACTCGAAATCAGTACCGTTCGCTTCAAATGCCATCGTGTTATCCACTGAGCTAATGAGTTCTGATAGCCCCTTGCTTGTGCAATGGGATGAAGTTTAAATTCACTTGGTGTTGTTTTACTTGAATCTTCCCATTGATGTTTTTAGGACTGAAATCGATCAGTCTCTTGTTGGCATATGTGCATACTGTGTGTATGCCTCGATATTGCCTTGATTTACAGGCATTATAAGCGAAGATGAATAGTGGCTAGCAGTGGCTATCAGGACTCAGTAGCTAAGTGGATAACGCGATGGCGTTTGAAGCGAACGGTACTTACTTCGAGTGCCAGAGTGAACATCAACTCTGAGATGAAGTTACATCCAACTGACGAGTCCCAAACAGGACGAAACGCGCGTCCTAGATTCCAATGCTAGCCACTATTCATCTTCGATTATAATGCTTGTAAATTAAGGCAATATTGAGGCATACGCACAATATGCACATATGCCAATAAGAGACTGATCAATTTCAGTCCAAAAAACATCAATGGGAAGATTCAAGTAAAGCAATATCAAGTAAAACAGGATATGGTTATTATCGACGAAGTCGGCTGATTTGTGATGGAGATGTGAAGGCATGAATACTTGGTCTTGTTTACATTTAATAGGTCCATTTTCACGCATGTGCATTTCGCTTTGTTGAAGAAGATAGAACAAACGTATGGTGGCGAATGGGTAAGAGACCATGTGAATGGAGGGGATTAAAAACAGCTCAAAATGTAAGAATATCCATATTTCAAATACGTAATAAGAACACAATGTGTAGGTACAAAAATGCCTCTTTTCATGTCTATTATTGTTTTAAACCCACAAAATTATGGAGAAGTGAGCGGACTTTAGATTAGTGCAACAGTCTGGATTTACTTGCAGTAGAAGTAAAAACAATTCCAGGTATTCGACACGGAAAACTGACATCAGTACAATTGGTCAGTTGCATCCCGCTAGACCGTGAGTTAACGAAAAGTTCTGCCCTCCAGATATGAGGTTATCTCTCCGTGATCATTATTATTGGTGGTGAACACCATGTTTTCTCCTTTGTTCAACAATGTTTCGTACTGTCTTGATTGGTCAGTACACAACAGATCCTTTTGGAATCCTGTCAAATAATATCGTAGTTGAGCATCTACTAAGTCTTTCATCAAGTTCAGCGAAAAATTTGATGAAAACGTTTGCGGATATAGATTGTAGCGTGATGCCTCTGTAGTCTTCACATTCGCTCGGATCTCTTTTTGGTATGTTGATGAGGTGTCTTTCTTTCCAGTTTGTCGACACCTGTTTTTACTCTCAAATCTTCCTGAATACAGTGTGAAGAATGCCTGCAGTTACTTCTGCCTAACTGCAATGCTTCAGACGGTGTGTTGTCAGGTCCTACGGTTTTCCAACTCCTGGTTTGTCTGAAGGCCACCTTGGTTTCTTCGACTGTTCGTGGGGCGCATTATACAGGGAGGTGTTTTGTGTGCTACTTCGACGTTCAGTGGATTTGTAGTGGCATTGGACCACAACCACACAATCCTCAAAGCTTAATACGAGACTGCTCGGAAAATAGACGCTCAATATTTAACTCGGATAAATACCTAACGACGGAAAAAGCAGGAACATTGGGTTGAATTAATTGGAGTTGATCGGATGGCATGGCTCGGCCATGCAATCATGGTGCCTGTGGAACGTTACCCTATATCTTTTATTCATATTAAATATACTGCTCTTTCTCTAGCCTACGATTGTTCTCCATCATGTATTGGTAATTGTTATGATACAGTGAGTTGGTGTAGACGATGATGTGACTTCCACGTAAGATCTTATAGATTAGTTATATCATGACAAGTCTACAATTTTAGGATAAATTCTATTATTAGAGCAGTACTAATATCAGGGTAAACCATGATTCTACAGATTCAATGGGGCTGGCCTATTCAAGAATTCCTCAAAGTGTTCTATCCATGCTTTCCTCTGTTCATGAATCTCAGTGGTTGATTCACTCTCTTAGTTCATGAATATTTGCTCTGATTTATTATAATTCTCTGTCAAATTCTTCATTGTATCATTTAGTTTTCTCATATATTCGTTCCTTGAAACGTCTCCCAATGTGATTATCGAATCTGCTACGTATTCCTGCTTTTCAGATATAACGCTTCACTTCACTCTCTTGTTTGCTTATGTGTATTCGGCCCGTGCTCTGACTTTCTCTCTTCTTGTCCTACTGTTTATAATTGCTGTCTTTTTTCTTCCTTTCTTGAATCCTGCATGCGTTTTTGACTGCTACCCATCTTTGATGATGGCACTTTCATTTTTTTCTTGGGCAGCAACTGCTTTTATGTGCGAAACAACGGAAGCTTCCCAAAAATCAATGTTTTCCGGGTCTAGCGGATTTCACTTATTCCGAGAACCATCAAGTTTAATCTCCCCATTTCTTTAGTCATTTGACCTGTCCTCCCAATATCCGACATTCTCCGGACATTCCATGTATTTGTAATAATTGTTGCT